TTTTAAATAAATTAAAAAGAAGTAAATAAATAAATATAAGATTCGGGGCCAGAGAGATAGTACTAGGCAGGGGTATTTGCCTTATATGCAGCAGACCCAGGTTCAATCCCCGATACCAACAGGAATGATCCCTGAGCCAGCAGTAAGCAGTAAGCCACCGAGTATGATCCAAATACAAAACCCCCAAAACACATAAGATATACTGCACTGAATCTGAAAAACAATCTATTAGAAATTTATTTTTATTACTTCAATTTTTTTTAGGTGAAAATACAGAAACTTGCCCAAGGTGAACTCCCAACATTTTATTTTCTGTGCTTTAAATCACATATTGCTTATTTAACAGAATTAGCTTTGTTCCTGTAGTTAGTTGTTAGGAAAACATATTGCTTTACTGTAAATATTTCTTCATTCTTGTTGTTAGAAAACCATATTTATTTAGTAAACATCTTTAACAGTTTTTATGAGATTAGAATTTGTAGAATAGATTCCAGGAAACGTTTTGCTTGATCGAGGGATTATTTTTAAGACTTCTGATATCACATCATTCAAATTTACTTTCAAAATGGTTTTCTCAGATATTTATCACAAGGAGTTTACTTAAAAATCGACTTTACACTGAAATACAAAATACTGAAGCATGGAGAAGGAAATAAAGACTGTGAAGACATAGCAAGTGGCCAGCAGAGGGCAACCGTATCACAGTTCTACTGAAAAAAAATATCTCGGAAACAAAAGGAAACTGATTTGTTCTATATTAAGCTTGCAGTTTGAAATCAAATATTTGCGGTCCTTCAAGTTGTATTCTACTTTTATTATATTTCCAAACAGAGGAATCATTTGTTTCTCCTACTACTGGTTCTTTCCAGAAATTACAACCATGAGAAGCATTTCCCTTGCCCTAGGTAATCTTCAGAGCAAGGACAAGCTGGGATTTACTTGACAGCAGAGTTACCGCTGGGGACCCAGAGAGTGTTGCGAGTAAGGTACTTGCCTTGCAGGCAGCTGACTGGGGTTAGATCCCTGTGCAAGGTCCCCCAAGCACAGTGGAAAGTGATCCCCAAGCACAGAGCCAGAAGTCAGCCTGAGAATGGCAGGGCGTGACTCAAAACAAACACACACAAAAGAGCTGCCTCACTGATACAAGGAAAATTAGAAGTGAGAACCTGCAATGCACTTTCTGTGTACTATAAAAAGGCCTAGGGAGTAATTTAAGTCATCAGTACGATGGCACTTTCCTATCATTAGAGGATTAGAGTTCATCTTTCCCCTGTATGTTATTTTTCCATTCATTTGCTTGACACATTTAGTGAGCAGTTATTATGTGCTAAGCTCTCTGCAAAATATTGTATATAATGGTGAATGAAACTGATATTGCTCTGACCCCTCATGGAATTTACAACACAGTGAGTAAGTCACATATGACTCATAATCACAAACAAGCATATAATTACAAACTGTAATGAGTGCATGAAAAAAAACGAAAGGGTACATGAGAGGGTATAATTGGAAATTATCATTTAGCCTGGAGCATCTGGAACTGCTTTCTCATGAAGCAACTTTTAATTGAAGGCCCGAAGGAAGAATATGATTTAATAAAACGAGGAGAGGGGCGAAGGTGGGGGCAGAGTGCATTAGAAAAAGCCCATCTTAGCAGAGGAAGGTTACGTACAGTAGCCCTGGAACAAGGGAATGTCATTTGTTCTAAGAACAGAAGCCAGTATAAATGGCTCACAGACGCGAAAATAAAAATAGCGCAGAGCAAGACTGGTAGGTAGGACAGATCACGTGACAAAGAACAAACCAAAGCTAAATCACAATTTCTTCTCAATCAATTTGTTTAACTGCAGGATAGAGAATGAGAATAAAGAATGTGCTTTTTAAAAAGTGAAGCCAGATACTTTTTATTGAACAAAACTGACTCAGAAAGACGTGGGCTGGGGAGAAGAGAAGAAAAGCATGTTCAAAAGGGAACACAAGCCTGAAAGTTCAAGCAAGCAAAGAGAAATAGAAAGCTGTGTGTTCCAGGGAGAACACGGGCTTGAAGGAGCAAGCCAAGAGTATACGTTTAGCATAGACTTCCCCCGGTGTGTTCAATTTCAAGTATTCTGCTACCTGCTCTCACAAACATACACCAGTCAGATTAGTGTGTTTCTTTTTTGTGGGGTAGGGCAGGGTAGGAAAAAAGGACTTCCAAGACAGTTTTACTAATCTTCTGCATTTAGGAAAACTAAATCTCAGAAAAGTTCATTGTCTTCGGATTTTCATATTTTGCCTAGAATTTTACTTTGATTTTGTACGGTCTAGAGTTTATGGGGCTTTCTGAATCTGCGGGTTGGTGTCTTTGATCAATTTGAAAACTTGATTATCATCTCGAATATTTCCTCTGCCCCCAATGTAACTTTTCTTTCTCTGTCTCTTTGGGTCCCAATAACTTTTGCTAGACATTTCGACAGTGTCTCACATATTTTTCTGCTCCCTTCTTTCCATTGCATCTTTCTCTCTGCTTTGGTTTGGATATCAAATTTACTTAATTGTGAGTTTTTGAGTTAGACTTGTCAGTGCTTGGGGCCTACTCCTGGCTCATTGCTTGGAATTCACTCCCAAACCTTAGAGAATCGTGTACTTCCAAGAATCAAACCTGGGTATCCTCAATGAAAAATATGTGCTCAATTCCTATGAGTTATTTCTCTGGCCCCAGTTTGGATATTCTTAATTGAGCTGTGCTCAAATCTACTAACCTTGTCTTTACCATGTACAATACTGTAAAAACCATGCAAGAGATGCTAATTTCATAAGCTGCACCTTTTATTTCTAGATTATCCTTTTTATCAATATTTATTTTTTATCAATATATATTATTGATATATTTTTATCGATTCCAATTCTCTTAAAATGTTGCTACCATCAGCTTATTTTTGTCTGTTTTTTCCTCTATTTTCTTAAAATAGTAAATTTTAGTAATATTAAAGGCATTGCTTGCTAACTCTAACACCTGGATCACCTACAAGTCTACTTCCATTGTTTATTTCTTCTTTGTACTATTGATCACATTTTCCCCTTCAACACCATCTACTAATTTTGATTATATGCAAGACACAGTGGGCTGGAGTGATAGGACAGCAGTAGGGTGTTTGCCTTGTGCATAGCCAGCCAGGCCGAGCCAGGTTCGATTCCTCCGCCCCTCTCGGAGAGCCTGCCAAGCTACTGAGAGTATTCAATATGCCAAACACAGTAACAAGAAGTCTCACAATGGAGACATCGCTGGGCCCACTTGAGCTCGAGCAAGACACAGCATATGAAAGAACCTCAGATAGAATTGCCCTTTCCTCTGCTGGGGACATATATTGAGAAGATCACCTTAACCAATAATAAACTGAGATGGGTTGAACATAGACTGTAAATTTAATGTATGTCAGTTCACCCTTGGCTCATGACTATTTCTTCCTCCTTAGTACTCCAAGACTTTTGCTTAAGAGCTAGCAGATATGCATCTCCTTAGCTGTATAAGATAGGGACTGATTCAGCACGGCCCTTTGGTGGTTTAAGCCCCAGATACCACTCTGGCACCATCAAACTCTGGTAAGGTCTTAAGAGAAAGATGTGTTATGTGTTGTAATAAGTCCTCTCTTTCTAAAGGTATTTTATGCCCTGCTGGATTTGGGAAAGGACCACTAAGTGAGTGATGGTTGGAGGGCTTGCTCAGGATGGGAAATGCATGCTTAAAGAAGACTATAGACCAAACATGATGGCCACTTAGTACCTGTATCGCAAACCATAACACCCAAAATAAGAGAAGAAAGTAAAAGGGAATGTGCCTGCCACAGAGGAAGGATGGGGTGTGGGTGGCGGGAGGGATACTGGGAACATTGGTGGTGCAGAATGGGCACTGGTGGAGGGATGGGTACTCGATCATTGTATGACTGAAATGTAATCACTAAAGTTTGTAAGTCTATAACTGTATCTCACAATGATTCATACACACACACACACATACACACACACACACACACATAAAGGTATTGTATGCCCTAAGAATTACCAAAGAATTTCTTTGTATCTTTTTTGGTTAGACTTCAATCTTCTGCAAAGTCAGCTAACGTCCTGTGGGACAGTGGCTTATGTTTGGAGCTTCTCTGGGTTTTAATCCATCAAGTAAAACCTAAATAATTGCCAAAGGCTCTTCTTACATCCCTTTCTTCAAGAAGAATTTGCTTGGGCCAAGCCTGCTTCTTAGTCTTTGTCCAAAATCAGCACACTGGGACCAGAGAGATGAAAATCAACCAGCTTGGCACACGTTTTGCCTGCAGGAGGCTCAAGTTTAATCTCAAAGACCACAGGAGCCCCCAGAGCGCCATTGGATGTAATTCCAAGCTCAGAACGAGGGAGTAGTCTATAAACACCATCGGGTGTGACCCAGAAACTAAACATCAAACCAAACTAAAATTAGCAGATGTTCCCAGGAAAGAAAATGATAGTTGGTAATTAGTTGGGAAGATATTTGACCTTTCTGGAATTTTCTCTTTGGCGGGAGGTGTTGGCTCCCAAGTGGTATTTAGAAGGTCTGGGTTGCCCACCTGAGATTCTCTATTACCTGTGCTGTCAGGCCCAAGGATGCTATGCTGCTTGGGTCTGACCATGTTGGGGATACCCGGGTCACCCTGTATATGCAGGGGGCCTCCAGTGCTGCACCCAGTAGTGCTCACAGGACCATGATGAAGACTCGAACCCAACCACTGGCCAATCAATGGAAAGAAGAATCAACTAATTACATTCAAAGGATAAGAAAAGTCAAGGCTGGAGCTATAGTACAGTGGGTAGAGCATTTGCCTTGCATGCGGCCGATCCAGGTTTGATTCCCAGCATCCCATATGGTCCCTGGGCACCGCCAGGAGTAATTTCTGAGTGCAGAGCCAGGAGGAACCCCTGTGCATCACCGGATGTGACCCAAAAAGCTAAAATAAAAAACAAAAAAGGATAAGGATAAGAAAAGTGTTTACCTGTGAGGGTATCACAACTGGCGGATCGATTATTGCATTGACAGGGCTGGCAACCACTCTTATTGAAGCCATAATATCCATCTTGGCATTGATCACAAGTAGAACCCATGACACCCATTTTGCACTGGCATTTCCCAGAACTGCAGAGAAAAGCAAAGACAATGAACAAAGTAAATCAGAGGGTTTACTAATATTCCATCACAGACTATTTAAAAAATACAAATAGTTTCAATTAGATTCTTGTCACTGGATGTATTGATTTTGATGTTGAAGTTAAATAGCTTCTGCATGAATTCAATTAGCATAAGTTCGTGACAATTTAATAATATTAATCATTTGTGACAATTTAATCACCTGTACTTAGGAGATTCAAAATAAATTATAAATGAGCCATGGAGATAAAGTCCCCAGTGTTTAAAAATCTGTTTACTAAGCGCTGAGACATAGAACTAGTCCCACTATCACATCTCATTAATGGATCTTTCTACAGTCCATTATTGGCAGTGCCCCATCAGAAGATATCTTCATCTAAACTAGCTTCTGGATAAAGATTATAAAGACCAAGATCTTAACACTACGCTGACAGATATTTGTTAGTAAAAACATCCTGTGATTTTGGGGGGAAACAATGAGGGTGACCACACCTGGAACTGCTCAGGATTTATTTCTGATGCTATGCTCAAGAATCATTCCTGACAGTGCTCAGAGAACCATATGCAGTGCCAGGTATCAAACCAGCGTTGGTTGTATAAAAGGCAAGCATCTTAACCCCTATATCACTTGGGCACAATGATGCATTTTTAAAACTTTAGACCCAGACTGTATTCAAATCATATTTCTAGGAATTATACTGGAATTGTCAATTAAGTAAATATGACTATAAGGGGACCACCATTGCTTTCTGGATTAAGCCCACATAAATTTTCCAGGTTGTAACCCCAGAGGAAGACTACAAATATAACATTTTAAATTGTATTGTTTATTATGTTTTTCTATTAACTTGGTATGCCTAAAACACAGTAACAATAAGTCTCACAATGGAGACGTTACTGGGCCTGCTCGAGCAAATCGATGAACAATGGGAGGACAGAGCTACAGTGCAGTGCTCTATTAACTTATGTTCTTTGAAAAGTTAACATTTATGTTTGCTAGATATTTATAACCAATTATAGACATTTAAACTTTAAACCAAATTTTATTTTTTTATCACTGTTTTGCAATACTGTAAAATTTCAGAAGTAGTTTCATACATCAAATGTTTATCTTATTACACCCATCAGTTTCTATCCAACCCCCCCAAACTCTATCCAAGACCGCCCAAATCTACCCCAAACTCCCAACCCATTCCTCCCACCTACTTCTTCTATCCCTCTGGTTACCACCAGATTTTTTGATTTCTGAATTTTTTAAGTTGTGTTTTGTCAGTATTTTAGTTGCACTTTGGTTACTTATACTCTATTTCACATATAAATAAAACCATCATCAGTAATTATCTAACATACCCTGATTTTTTTCCTTAGCATGATCATCTCAAGTTCCACACTGATTGTCACAAAAACACTTTTTTTGCTTTTTAAGAACTGAGTGAATTGTGATTTTTGGCACCAGTCATATTGGTTGATCGGAGGCAATCAAGGTAGAACTGCTTTTCAATATAATATTTAGGAGTTCAAACTCCTAATAATGAGTCCCTGTGGGGTTAATTTTAGTTCATGAACCCAAGTTAAAATTTGTTAATACTTACACTGCTCTATCACAAATCAGTTAAAGTAATCCCATACTATTTCCCATGGTCATAGTTCGGTAATAAAAATAGACATTCTAAATTTAAGAGTTATAGAAACTTTGGGTTGCACTTTACAGAATGGAAGTAGAGTATTTCCCACCATGTGTCTCCATTTGTAATTATACAAACCTAAGGAGTTTTATTTGGGGGTGGGAGGGAGAGTAGAGAGAGAAAGGATCTCCATGATTCATTCCCAGTCATTCTTGGTCCCTAAATGCAGGCTTAATGCTCAGGCCATCAATGAACTGAGGCTTGGGCCTGAGAGTAAGGGGTCCCCAGGGTCTTGTGGTAGAGCTTGTAGGTACCCACAGGGGATGTACCTGGTGCTGTACACAGAGCCATGAAGTGCCAAAGATGCAACCAGGAGCCTCTGTATACAAGATATACACTCCAGCCCTTTCAGTTATGGCCCTTGCCCTAAATAATATTTTCATTGTTATCTGAGAGAAGTCTCAAATAATCAGCATTCCTTGGGCCCAATAATGAAGTGTTTGCCCTCTCTCCTTAAAAAAAGGAAAAGAAAAGAAAACACAACCTATTTTGAGCAGTTAAAGTTGAAGTACACTTTTCTCTCCCATATTTCATGGTTCTCTACAATACCCCAGGGAAGGCCCAAAAAGAATAGAAAATAACAGTACTACATAAAATATTTATTTTTAGGATTTGACACAAAGTCCAAAAGGGAAAGAAAGCCAAGCTTATAGAAATAATGTATACCCAATATGTGTCTTTTAGCCTTGTATAGTCAGAAAACATCTATCAAACTTGATTTTTCTGCCTAGCACACTGGCTTATGCAGTCTTTTGACCAAAAAAAAAAAAAACCATGGTAATGATGATAAAAATATAGGTCACTGAGGTTTGGGTGATGGCTCAGAGGAAAAGCATATGCCTTATATGTGTGAGGTCCAATCCTCAACATGGTGGGCAGGGGGAAGAAGAGTTGTTAATTATTCAGCGTTTATCCCAGTAGTACTGTAGCACTATCCTCCCATTGTTCCCGTTATCCCAGTAAACAAATACACACACACACACACACACACACACACACACACACACATATATGTACTTTCTAATATTAAAATAGCACTATTAGGTAGAGGTCATAATACTCATTTCACTATTGGGGGAATTCAGAGAAGCTAAAGTTATTGTCCACACCTACTGAATCAGACCCTTCCCATCTTCCTATGCTACTTACTCCTACCAAAGTTGGGCATTAAATACGTCCCTTCCCCCCGCCCCATATTTTTAAACATTGAAACACCGTGACTTATAGTTTCAAAATACTATGTCCACACCTACCACCAAGGTGTCTATTTCCCAACACCATTATTAAAGGATCCCACCTAGTGGTCCCACCACTATTGCCCCAGATAAGCTCAGTTCTGTAGATCTGTTGGGGCCGGACTAGGCCATCAGGATGAGCCCATGTAGACTGACCCGCAAACGGGCAGGAATGGGGCTTTATGAAAATGGGCGAGATTACTCCTGTGTCCTTACTGGTTTGGATGAGGTTGAACATCTTTTTCTTTAAACTGCCTTCAGTAAATAATTTTACAAATTTCAGTATACTGAAATTGTCAATCTTCCTCTTCTCACAGATCCTAGGTGCTTACATAGCCTGTCTGTTTGTAGTATGCAGTTCCCAAGCACTTAGCCTGTTTGTTTTCAGTATGCAGATCTCAGGTACTTAGCCTGTTTGTTTTTAGCATACAGAAAAGCTTTCGGCTTTGCATGTTCTTCCTGTAACTTCTTTGTTTTTGCATGTTCTTCCCATAACTTCTTTGTTGATGACCTCACTGTATTGAGCCCTTTAGAGGTATGAACAGTAGGATGGTAATAAAAGGAGATTTCAGGACGCTCTACTTTTGTCACAGTGTCTGAGCAAACCTGGACCCTCCGTGAAATAAAATTTCTCTCACATTCCTTGTCTCAGCTCAGAATGAATATTCATGCAACAAGATCAACTTCTAATTTGTGAAAAAAAAGTCATGATGAAGAACTGATAGTTACTTGGGTATCAGCTTTTCCCTGTAGAGTCCCAAGTACTACAATTCACCATTCATGTAAGTGGTGATGTCACTGAGTTGCTTCTGCCTTGCCCAGAATAAATTCAGGTCTCTTTTTCTCATGCCAGATTAATAAAAGCTTAGCATTCTTATTGCTTGAGGAGAAATTGCAGCCTAGCAAAATCCAAGGTTCTCCGAAATCCAAACCCAAATATTCTGATGCTTTGCTAAAGCTTAATTAAAATTAAGTAATTTGTACTGGTCATAGTATAAAAGATGAACATTTCTTTTAAAAATGCCACAGAGATTTATTATATTTATATTGTCAATCTGTCTCTTAAGTTTGCACAAACAAAAGAAGAAAAAAAACAAGACACACACATACAAGACTTTTATGTGTGCTTTACACAGGAATACTATAAAGTACAAAACTATCTAGTAACATTCACTTGGATTCATCCCCTAGAAAGTTTAGGAAATGTCTTATGACTCATGAAGGAATCAGTCAACTTAAGTCTGCCTTTTAGAAAGAATAAAGGTTACAGTGCTCCTTTACAATGCTCCTTTCAGAGAGCAGTTAGAAAACTTCATGAGCCAATTTCAAGGTTTAAAAAATATTGGTGAGGGGCCAGAGCAGCAGTACAATGGGTAGGGCATTTGCCATGCATGTGGCCGAGCTGGGTTTGATCCCCAGGATCCCATATGATCCCTCAAGCACTTCCAGGAGTAATTCCTGAGTGCAGATCCAGAAGTAAACCTGAACATTGCAAGAGGTGACCCAAAAGCCCAAAATTAAAATAAAATTTGGTAAAAATATGCCGGCTCCTCATTTCTCTAGCCATTAGATTATTTAGCATACAGAAGAATAACTAGCTACTTTCAATGACAGTGTCTGTCCAAGAGACCATATACCAGGAAAAGGTGCTGTCTTGAAGTACCTAGTAACTTGGTATCTCAAAACTGCAATGTAGCCAGTATTCCCAAAGTGGTTGCTATTCCTGTAAATGAACTTTCCCTCATTAAATTCTGCTTTAGGCATTCAAAAGATTGATTTAAGCAGGAACCTTTCTCCCTGGAGAACATACTCCTTTGCTGCTGATTTTAATGTTTCACTTTTACCAGGGAGATTTTCCCAAATTCAATTAAAATTTTATTCTCTCTCCCCCCTCCCCTGTTGATAATTGGTTTAGTTCTTACAGTGACGGAGGTCGAATACCTGCCTGGTTGTGTTGCTCACACACTTTTTTAGCTCTGGTACTCACACCTTGCCTGGGCCATGGTTCTCACTGAAGTTCGTGGGACTGTCGCTGTGGTCCCTCCACACGTGCTCATATTACACTTGC